ATCTGACAAATGTCTAATATGCAGCATCTATAAGGAACTTACACAAATGTATAAGAAGCAAACAACCCCGTTAAAAAGTGGGCAAAGGGCATGAACAGACACTTTTCAAAAGAAGACATACATTTGGTTAACAATCATATGAAACAAAGGTCAACATCACAGATCATTAGAGAAATGCAAATCAAAGCCACAGTGAGATAGATACCATTTTACACCAGTCGGAATGGGTTTTATTAAAAAGTCCACAGTGTGATAGACACCATTTCATGCCAGTCAGAATGGGTATTATTATGCAGCATCTGTGATGCTGGTAAGGTTTTGGAGGAACAGAAACGTCTCTACACTGTTTGTGGGAAGGTAAATTAGTTCAAGTATTGTGGAAGACAGTGTGGCAATTCCTCAAAAACCTAAAACAGAAATACCATTTGACACAGTAATTCCATTACTGGGTATATAACCAAAGGAATAGAAATCATTCTATTATAAAGACACATGCATGAATATGTTCATTGTAGCTGGATTCACAATAGAAAAGATATGGACTCAATCTAAATGCCCATCAATAGTAGACTGGATACAGAAAATGTAGTACATATACAGCATGAAATACTATGCAGCCATAAAAAAGAATGAGATCAAGGTGCTGGAGACCATCATCCTTAGCAAACTAATGAAGAAACAGAAAATCAAATGCATGTTCTCACTTATAAGTGGTAGCTACAAGGACACATAAAGGGGAATAATACACACCGGGGGCATTCAGAGGGTGGAGGGTGGGAGGAGGGAGAGGATTATTTTATATTTGTTGTTTATTTATTTATTAAAAATAACTAATGGGTACCAGTCTTAATACCTGGGTGACAAAATAATCTATAGAACAAACCCCCATGATGCAAATGTACCTATATAACAAACCTGTACATGTACCACTGAACTTAAGATAGAAATTAAATTAAAAATATTTGTAACACACGCACACACACACACATACACACACAAAGAAATAGCCTTGAGAAAATACAGTGAGGGCATTCTGCTATTCTCGCAAGGTAAAAGAAAATTTTATTTTATTTATTTATTTTTTACGAATGAGATGTAAACCTTTATTTCACAAGTTCGTCATAATTCATTTTCTAAAAAGACATGGACCATGGGACACAGCTGAAAACACTGGGAGGCCAGCTGCCAGTGTCTCCCAGGCGGGAACATAGCGATGTCTATGGGCCGATGTCTTCTGGGGCTCTAGGCAGCATAAAAGCCAGATGCACCGGTACTGTCCAATCCCAGTTTTACTTAGAGCCACCTCTTTTTGGGGGGCTGTTAGTTCTCATTTCATGCCAGATTTTCACTAGAGCCTCCCTTTTCTTCCAAATTAGTTCATGACCGTAAGTAACATACCATATTCCAAAGGGAGCATAATCAGAAAATTTCCATCCCAGGATCATTCCTGCTGTATCCACAGCATTAATGGCTTTTAGGGCATTTCTTGCTGTGAATGTGAGCATTGGTAGGAGAATAGTGGCAAGCCTCCCTTCTGGGATCTTAGTGCAGACAGCTGCGAGGACTGTCATGATGGCACCAGATGCACCAAGTGATGGTACATATCTTCCTGTGGCAACTTCACATATGTAACTGACAAAATTGGAAATAACACCTGCAGATAGGTACTAGGTACACTGCCATGAACTGCTCTTGACCCAAAATATACAATGCTGGAGGAGAAGCTCCACAAAACTTACATATTTGCTGCCATGTGAAACAAGGAGAAGTGATTGAATGTTGACAGCAACATTGGAAAACAAGGACTTTTGAGGCTGGATTAGATGTGAAATATCTGATCACTGTCCAGTGCAGAGAAGGTACTCTCCATAAGCAGACTACAAGGACATTTGCAGCTGTGATACCTGTCACTGTCTGCTGGCCATCACTTAGATTATTCCACCACTTCTTAATCTCCTTTCTGAAGTCTCCTTTCTTTTGTCATCTTATGCTATCCAACCAATCAGCTTTTATGCTATGAAAATAGCTCCGGACCCTGGATTTCAGTGATTCACATTCCCAAACAGCAGCTGATCCAAATGCACAGCCTGAAAACCCAACAGTAAAAAATAAAGGTTTTATGAGCATCCTCCTTAGAGGATAAGGAGAAAGATAAAAGACTGTTGCTTCCACAGTAGGAATCAAAGCACTTCTCTCATATGCTTCACCAGTTGTCCCTGTCTGATCTTCGAGGTTCAATCTTACTGGATGCTTTTCTGAATCCACGTTTTTCCTGAATAAAGGAGTGAAACCTGTTGCGTCCGAGCATCTGCGGCGGGACTAGGGCCATAGTGAGTTCCTCGCAGCTACCGCTGCCCACCAGTTGAGTCCACACTGAGCCACAGCCCCAGCCTTTCTGTGCTCAGCCATGCCACCCCATCTTCCCACTAAAAGAAAATTTTAGGCCAGGCACGGTGGCTCACACCTGCAATCCCAGAATTTTGGGAGGCCAAGGTGGGTGGATCACCTGAGGTCGGGAGTTCAACACCCAGCCTGATCAACATGGAAACACCCTGTCTCTACTAAAAATACAAAATTAGCCTGGTGTGGTGGCATATGCTTGTAATTCCAGCCACTTGGAAGGCTGAGGCAAGAGAATCACTTGAACCTGGGAGGCAGAGGTTGCTGTGAGCCAATGTTGCACCGCTGCACTCCAGCCTGGGCAGCAATAGAAACTCCATCTCAAAAAAAAAAAAAGAAAGAAAATTTTAGTACCTTCATTCTATATCCCAGGGATTGTATTGTTTTACTCCAGCAAAAACACTTCTGGAAACGCTGCTATCAGTGGAGCTGCTGGCTAAGTTGGCAATAATTTAAAATTCCCCAAAATTCATCCATCTTTTATACATAGTTCATATTAATTTGCTGCGACTGATGTAACAAAATGTCAGTCCCCAGACTGGTGGCTTAAACAATATACATTTATTTTCTGAAAGTTCTGGTGGCTAGAAGTCCAAGATCAAGGCATCTGCAGGTTTGGTTCCTCTGAGTCCTCTCTCCTTGGCTTGCAGTTGGCCACCTTCTTCCCATACCCTCACACAGTCTTTCCTGTGTGTGTACATTCGTGGCATCCCTCTGTGTGTGTCTAAATTCTCCTTTCTTTAATAAAGATACTACTCAGATTGTATTAGGGCCCATTTTAATGGCTTCATTTTAACTTAATCCCCTCTGTAAAGACCCTGTCTCCAAAAACAGTCATTTTCTAAGGTACTAGGGGTTAGGGGTTCAAGATATACATTTTAGGGGACACAAGTTAACCCATAAGAGAGGTCAGATGGGTGAGTTACATGTAGTTGTGAGGGAAATCAACTCTGGATCCTCCGAGTCTTTGATCCTGCACTAACTGCAGCAGTCAGTCCAAGAGTGTGGTATTGCTGTGCTTTTCTGTTTTGGTGGATTTCTGCTTGACTTTTCCTACTTAACAGTCCCAACTCCATGAGTTAGGAAACTAATATGGTAATGCTGCTAGATGCATTCTATATTGCTATCAATTATGCTTTTAGAAATGGGGCATATAGAGTGTGTGTGGGAGACAGAGAGAGAAAGGAGAGAGGGAAGGAAGGAAGAATGATTTTTAGGATTTAATTACATTTAAATTTAATTGTAATATAAAATTAAATTTTTTGAGTTTGATTTTTTTGAATTAAAAAGTTTAATGTTTTCCATTTTTTAATTTTTAAATTTAATTATAATTTTGGAGCTAATGGATGTCATTTGCAAATCTCTCTCAGCATGGGCAATCAATACTTATATTTGGGTTAAGTAACATTTTATAATTTCTGTAACATTTTTTATCTTAAAAATAATTATTGTCAAAGACTTTGTAAAACAGCTTTTTCAAACAATTTAGTTTTGGAGTTATCAAGAAGATTCACATTTTTTAAAATCCAAAAATGATAGAAAAGAACCAGTTTCAGTAAACCCATTTTCAACAGGCAATAAAAATAAAAAGGAGGCCAGGTACGGTGGCTCACATCCATAATCCCAGCACTTTGGGAGGCCGAGACAGGTGAATCACATAGTCAGGAGTTTGAGACCAGGCTGACCAACATGGTGAGACCTTGTCTTTGCTAAAAATACAAAAATTAGCCGGGTGTGGTGGTGTGCACCTGTAATCCCAGCTACTCAGGAGGCTGAGGCAGGAGAATCACTTGAACCCTGGAGCCGGAGGTTGTGGTGAGCCAAGATCACACCACTGCACTCCAGCCTGGGTGACAGAATGAGGCTCTGTCTCAAAAATAAATAAATAAATAAAAAGGATACACCAATGTTATTAAGATTTTGAGATGCACCATGCACACATCAGGGTCAGGGCTGTTGGTCTTTATTACAGTCAGAATTTGCATCTAGGAAAACTTCCACATGATGAAATGAAGAGATGCAATACACTCAGGCTTTTAATGAAATTGACATCATTATTACAAATAGTGCTCATTTGAGGCAACTGTGATATTATTGCAATGGGAAACATCTGTCCCCTTTCCTCTCAGGTCCCCTTGGTGGCCTAGGTTCATATTACAGCCACCTTTAGGACTAAATACACAAAGACCTTACTCTGTATCTGCCCCTTTGACTTCAAGATAGTTCTCAAAAAGAAGTACAATAACTTTTTTCTTTCTTAACTAGATGAAGTTAAATTGCCAAAATAAAAATCCAATGCCCAATTTTGGTTTTAAAACTAGAAAATGAAAGAATGTAATGATCAATGATGACTTTGGGAATAATTCTTTAAAACACAGTGAGGGTGAGTTCTTTTGGAAACAACTGTACTCTATGTTTATACATATTTATACATAAAAGGTGTCCTCATTGGGGGAGGTGGGTGCTGATGCCACTGCTTCCTTTGAAGGCTTTTCTCCCCCACTGCCAATGCCCAGGGGAACGAGTCTTCGATGGCAGCTCAATCTAGTTCTTCTGTTTAGACTTGGATCTCATTCCAATTTAGGCTTTTCTTTCTCTTCTTCCATACCTAGAAATACAGGCAAAGTGTTTTATTTGAGCATCAGTTTAAACTACAAGCAGTTTGTTTAATCTGGTTTGCTAGCACTACCCACAAATCCACTCATCTGCCCTCACTTCTCCCATCCACCCTCCTGACACCCCGTTTTCCCTCCTAGCTAAGAAGAGAAGCCATGTACAACTTTCTCCAGAAACATCCTCAGTGACCTCTCTTCCCACCCTTTCCCTAGAATCAGGACACAGCACTCTGGGTTGGGACACACCCAGCTCCTATGGCCTCTGGGAGACAAGGCTGCAAGTTGATTCATGACTGCCTGAGTTTGCATGGAAACCCCAGCTAGAATGCTTTTTAGACCAGCTTCTGGCAACATGAGATGTGCAACTCAGGAGTTTCAAACAGAATTCATTTATTTTTACTTTAGTCCTGTCCCTTCCCAAGGCAAGGACTCTGGATTTTCAAAAGCCAGTTTTTTTTTTTTTTTTTTAAGTTCATAGAGAGTTTGTTAGCCCCAAGAACTGTTTATTTCCATACTCCTGAAACTTAAACTGAAATTCTCTCTCTATTCAACCCAATCCTGGTAGAATCGTTCTTCTTCCTGAAGAACTTGTATGTACTGCACCAGTAAGACCCTTTGCCTACTGTCTGTATAGTCAATGACGTTTCATGGGCCTGGAGATGAAAATGTTTGTCATTTTTATGAATTATAGTTAAATCTCGCAAGTGCTTCTTTTTTCTTTTTCTGGTACCGAAACATTTTTTGAATCATACTAAACTCTCAGTTTCTTTGTTTCGATAGCAAAAATGGAACAAAAGAACTTAAAATACCATTTTGCAGGTTTGGTTAGTATACTTTGATAAATTGCAAGCTTTCTGAGGGTAGGGCGCTTCCCTGTGCTGTTCCTGATCGTATCCCCAGCACCTAACACAGTGTGTGTGTCTCATTGCAGGTGCTCAATCAGTCTTTGTTGAATAAATTAATAAGCAATGAACACACAGAAAGCCTCAGAAGCCAGGACTAGTGGAAAGCAGAACACAATATGGGACTCCACAATATGAAAATTATAAGGTTTAACCCCAGGGGGTCATAATGTTAGGACTTACAACAGGAGGGACTCCCCCACCACACAACCCCCAGCTCCTAGCCTAAGTTTTGTGCCGTCAGAGTAGCGGTGGTGAAAATGTGGGTAACGTGCTCTGCACAGATGTCCCCAGATGGTCTTTTATGTTTGGTTTTCATGGCTAAAGAACTGGCAGAGATCTGGAGCACTTTTCCTTAAGTCCTTCTCAGAAATCATACGAAGGAAAACAAATTGAAGAGTGAGTATGTCTCTCAGGAGGAGGAACATGGTTGAAGGGGAGAAGGTACAACATGCCTTCGTTGTTGGGTAACCAAGGAAACAAAAAAACAGCACAGATTCCGCTCAAACTGCACGTATGTCTTGAAGCCCTGCTCTGTCCGTGTTCCCTCCCCTGTGGAGAAGCTATCAGGGACTAATAGCAGTTTGCTTTTCTTTTTAAGGTTTATTTTTTCCAAAGCACTATCCTGCAGATGGGTTGACTTGGCAGCAACGCTGGAATCTTCCAAAGCGCGGGTGGAGAATGGGGTTACTCATTGACCTAGAGAGGGAAAATGGCTTCCCACTTACTTTGGTTTGGCAGCTGTGAGGTACAGAGGAAAATTACACAGCTGTAAATAATGTTTGCAAGAACCAGAGATAAAATTTCCCCACAAAGGACGGGAAGAAACCTATCACAAAGCTGAGGTAGAACACACTTTTGGGGCCAGAGGGGACAAGGCTGCAGAGCGCTGAGGGAGTCAGTCACATGGCCTTCATGCGGTGGGGGCGGGGAGCACAGGCTCCACCAGGGGGCGGTGCTGGGACATCCCTAGGCCTGGGCGGGCCTGGGCGGGAATGACCTGCATGGGCAGCTGGAGGAGAAGAGGTGCAGATTTCTGCTCACACAGACCTCTCCTTTCTCCCCGCTTGCCTACTTTCTTTCTCTGTCCTCACCCCAACCTTTTGCTTTTGAAAAGACTCATTTCTGGTCTTACAAAATGTACCTTTAGTAAGACTGGTCACATATACTAAAATTGGGAGAAAGTCTTCGCTTAAGTACAGAAATTAGTTCAGCTGTGAATGGTGTCCCCCACTCCCCAAAATCCTACGTTAATGTGCTTAACCCTCAGTGCCTCTGACTGGAAGATAATACCAAGGGTGTGGCTGGACAGCCATGTGCTAACAAAATTAGGTATGTGACTCACGGATCCAATCAACCTCGGCAGCAGAAGCCAGAAAAAGAGGGGTGGCTACCTGTAAAAGATCCGTGGTGTGCCCTCTTGTCTGACTGCTTGGATCCCCATGACTTGCATAGGAAGCCGGTAAGGTTTTTGAGAATTTTATATAAGCAGACACATTGACAGCCTGGACTGAAAGGGACAGCCACAGAATGAAATGAAGGACCAATGGCTTCACAGATGGTTCAGGGACTGGCTCTTCCTTGGTTGTAGAGGGTGGAACTGTATAGCCCAGGGCTGAGGTGGTGGGGCTTTTGCACCTGGAAGGCAGGGCTATGCATCCCCTCCCCAGTGAGCCAGCCCTGAGGACTGAACATCTAGCCAAAGAGGATTATTTTCAAGCCTTAAAATGGAATGGAATTTCCCCCGCTAGCTTCAGGCTTGCTTGGAAGCCATGATTCTCCGCCCCCCACCCCCCAACTTCTCCCTTACAGAATGGGAATGTATATTCTATGCCTGTCCCATCATTCTGATTTGGAAACAAAACTTTTTGTCTGGTTTCCCAGGTTCCCACACAGCTAGAGAACAATTTGGCTTCAGGATTACTCACACCCTGAGTCTCACGCCTACCCAATTTTTATGATATTAAAGGTGAGATTTTGGACTTGAGAGTTGATGTTTGAAAGACGTTTGGGGTTGTTGGGATAGAATATTTTCATTGGGTGAAGGACATGTGTTCTGGTGGGGAGCGAGTGAAGTGTTATCAGCTGAACTGTGTCCCCTCTCCCAAATTCATATGTTGAAATCCTAACCCCCAGGATCTCAGAATGTGACTTTATTGGAGATAGGGTGTTTATAAATGAGATCAACAGGGTGGGCCCGAATTAAATACAACTGGTATCCTTATACAAAGGGGACATCTGGAGACTGGACTGAACATCAGTTAGAAGGCACCAGCTCTGCCATTACCTATTCTGGAAGGTCACTTAAGATTTTTCAGGCTGATGGTAAAAAAAAAAAAAGGGTTGGTTTAGATGATTTCTAGTCTTTCTTTCACTGTAAGATTCTGTAATAGTGTGATTTTTTATCTTGAAGTTGTAGCTAACATAAGTCACCCAAGTAGAGGGAGTTGAGCTATTAAAAACCATTATGGAAAAAGGAGGGTGGCTGCAATGCAATCTTCCTTCTTCTTGCGGGACTCTATAGTAACTGATGTGAAATACTCAGTGCTGTAGTGCCGTACTACATGTCCTCAGTTCATCCAAACACACTGCTTTTAGTGAGTAGTTTTCAACTCAGTAACTAATAGAACCAGGCAGCTAATGTGACTGACTGACTCAAGTGGCCAGGTGAGAACGAGGGAAAATTAGTCATCTAAAGGGGATAACTGATACTCAATTCTTTTTTCTTTTCTTTTCTTTTTTTTGAGACAGAGTTTCACTCTGTGCCTCAGGATGGAGTGCAGTGGCACGATCTCGGCTCACTGCAACCTCTGCCTCCAGGTTGAAGCGATTCTCGTGCCTTAGCCTCCCAAGTAGTTGAGATTACAGGCATGTACCACCACACTAGGCTCACTTTTGTATTTTTAGTAGAGATGGAATTGCACCATGTTGGCTAGCCTGGTCTTGAACTCCTGGCCTCAAGTGATCCACCCACCTCAGCCTCCCAAAGTGATGCAATTACAGGTATGAGCCACCATGCCCAGCCACAGGATAATGGATTTGCTATCCTAAACCACTGTCACCAGAAGAGAACAAGAGAACAGTGGGCTCCATGTTTCCAGATCTTTCTTTTTTTTTTTTAGATGAAGTTTCACTCTTGTTACCCAGGCTGGAGTGCAATGGTGTGATCTCGGCTCACTGCAACCTCCACCTCCTGGGTTCAAGCAATTCTCCTCCCAAGTAGCAGGGACTACAGGCACGTGCCACCACGCCCAGCTAATTTTTGCATTTTTAGTACAGACAAAGCTTCACCATGTTGACCAGGATGGTCTCGATCTCTTGTCCTCGTGATCCACCTGCCCTGGCCTCCCAAAGTGCTGGGATTACAGACGTGAGCCACTGCGCCCAGCCACCAGATCTTAAAATATATCCTAAGAAGCTAAAAATCTGGCCCTTATGTCATATCTCCCAATTTTAAAATACTGATTCAAAAACAAAAATTCCCCTATGTAGGCCCAACAGAACTTGGTTGGTACAAGTTGGGGCAGGCCATCAGTTTGTGACCCCTCTTATAAATGAGGAAGATACTTACTTGGCCCAAAACATCTGTCTCTGTGGAACTAACCAGATGGTCCTACGTACATAAAGTTAATAATGCAGAGTGGATATTTCTCTCTTCTGGTTTTCAGGTCATCTTCTCATAGAAGTAGTAGAACTATAGCCAAATGACTGTCAAATCAATCAAGTCAAGCATAGCCGGTACTTATGTCCTTCCTGAATAGCATATACTGGACACATTCATTTAAGTTTAAATACAACCTTTCTCCCAAGAAGCTGAGAAAAGTTTATATTTTGTATTCAAAATATTTTTGTCGGTTAACTAAATACTTCAGTAAATTAATGGAGAAAGATCACTATTTCCATTGAACAGGTGGGGCGTTATTAAAAGATTATTTTCCAGTCCCTTAAGCTGTGGGCCTGAACAGAATAAAAAATGTTGATACTTTTCTAATAGAACATTTATTAAAATCAGAAGTTGCTGAGAAAAGAAACTCCCAAATTCCTCTGGGCCATTTACCATTGTCTAGTACCCTGATGCGTACAAGCTTAGAGGATCCACACACAGAAAAGTCTGATTCAGTAACCACGCACAGTAATCATGCACTCACTGTGCTTTATTTGTCTGATTCGATTGAGCTCCTGGCAGGGTGTCTGGCACAAAGCAGGGTGCTCAAAGTCTGTGTCACAGAGTCAATTTACTAGTGATGTCTAGAATGCTGTGATTGTGTCAGAGGAGAGAGCCAGGGCTCTCTAAAATCTCCAAACCATCTTGCCTTTGGATGTATTTTCATGCAGAACTCAATCCCTAATGTCTGTGCTGGTGCTTTTTCCATCTTTCAATTTTTATGTTATCTTACATACACTTTGGACAGGTTTTGCACAGCTTGGATAAGATACGTGCCTTGCCAAGGTGGAGGCTCTGCCATACGTGGAAACAAAAGAGAAATCAAATCACAGGTTAAAAGAGTTTCTGCAGCCATGAAACATTATCTTTTACTGCTTGTACCTCTTTGCCACTTTCAGATCTTTCATATGACAGCCACTGGTGAGTCAAGGTGGCCGGAGCATCACACACTGCTTAGAGCTCTAGCAGAATGTCAGTAATACCTCTCCCATGTGACTGCACCCACAGAGAAAGCGGAGATCTGAGTGACTTTAAAGGAGACTGGTGACATTTAATAATGTATCTATTTAATTTGGGGTCCCTTTAGCTAAGGCAGTATTGTGTTGTGATAATGACAAATTTCCCTAATATATATATTTTTGTTAACACTATATTTTTTCCTATAAAATTTTATACACATGCCTCTTTCCTCTTTAGATTTGGATGTTTTACTAGCAAATAAGTCTAAGTGACTAGTAAACCTTTCGGGTAACTGTCAGCAGCTCTTAAATTCATACTGTAGTTATAAAATGGAACTCTTCATAGGAGATCCTGTGTGAAGGCTGAAAGAAAAGGCTCCAGTGGAATTTTCCCTCAGTTTCTGCATATACTCTTGTTGGCAGTAAGTCTCTTGTTTTATGTCCCCTCAGGCAATACTTACTTCTATGTGTATCCCAGATATAGTTGTTCAGAACTTCTCCCAGCAGGTACAGGAAGTTCATTAAGATGGTTGTAGACCCAAAGAAGATGATTCTGGCTCCTGGGCCAATGTGTTCCAGGAAAGGGTACACCCACATGCCAGTTACATGATGCACCCAGCATACCCTGCAGAGGAATTGGAAAGGAAACAAGGACAGGAGTCACTCTGACGGCAGGCATCAAGGCTGCTACGATGCGAAGATATACTCCCTCACTCTCACCATGCTTCAACATTTGCCAGTCTTGAGTTTGCTTCTGATACTCAGGAGCTACCAGAAACTTGGTTGTCATTTATTTTCTTGTACTTTTTTTTCTGAAATAATTTTAGACTCACAGAAGATGCACAACACACTCAGCTTTCCCTCACGTTAACATCTAGTATAATCTGGAACAATTACCTAAAATTAAAAAATTAACATTGACATGACAGTATGAAATTATAGGCTTTATTCAGAATTTCCCAGTGTTCCTGTGAACATCCTTTCTGTGTTCTAAGATCCAGTCCAGGACCCCACATGTTCTTCAGTCATCACATCTCTGCAGTCTCATATTCTGGGAGTTCCTCAGTCTCTCCTTGTCTTTGATGACATTTGAAGGGTTCTGGTCAGGTTATTTGAAATGGTTGACTTTATTAACACTGTTAAACGATCTTTTATATCTCCTCTTCACAGAAGGAGACAATATGGCATTGGGCAACCACCTGAGAATAAGACCTGGGAGAGTATATGCCAGATACCCTGCCATATGGCCTTCCAAGTAGACACCAACAATCATGCCATAGGCTGGCACAACCATCCATAGCCTGGCAGGTACCAGCTTCCCACCCCTCTGATCTTCAGATATAACACTGATTTCATTTTTTCCCTATTTTACATACTTCCTTAATCATTCTCTTTGTGTTCCAGAAGTATTTTTGACTCTGGAAATAGTAACATCATGAATCGCCATTGCTTTCAAAAGTTTAATTAGAATATCGGCTCCATTGGCTTAGTCCTGACATGACTGCTTACAGCTGTTTTCCAAAACGTTCTTGAGTTTATTCTTTATAAAATGTTGGCAATTGTGAAGATTAAATAAAATACAGACAACTCTATTGCATTGGGAATAACGATGACTTTTCATACTTATGTGTTTTGAGGTCATTTTTCCTATCCATGGCTTCACTCTAAGTAGTTTATCTACATACAAACATTACCGGCAGGGTGCTGTGGCTCACAACTGTAATCTCAGCACTTTGGGAGGCTGAGGAGGGTGGGTCACCTGAGGTCAGGAGTACAAGACCAGCCTGGACAACATGGTGAAACCCCGTCTCTACTAAAAATACAAAAATTAGCTGGGTGTCGTGGTGTATAATCCCAGCTACTTGGGAGGCTGAGGCACAAGAATCACTTGAACTTGGGAGGTGGAGGTTGCAGTGAACAAGATAGCACCACTGCACTCCAGCCTGGGTGACAAAATGAGACTTGGTCTCAAAAATAATAATAATAATAATAATAATAATAATAATAGTAAAGCATTACTTACACATGTACCTCATTTTGGGCAGGAAAATCCATACCTGAGAACCTGCATTAGCAATGAGGGTGATAACTCCCCCTCCTCTTGCAGGTAAAAATCCATTCTGGGGTTGGCGATAGAAAAATTTTACACTTTTTATGTAGAAAGCACAGATACACACACACAAACACACATACACACACACACATACTTACACAGAGATGTACATATATGTATATAGAAACACATCAACTGATGAATAAATAATCAAAATGTGGCAAATGCATGCAATGGAATATTACTCAGCCATAAAGAGGAGTGAAATGTCTGCTACAACATGGATGGACCTTGAAAATATTATGCTAGCAAAATAAGCCAGACCCAGGACACGTATTGTATAATTCCACTTATATGAGGTATCTAGAATAGGCAAATTTAGCAGTTACCAGGGGCTTGGGCGAGTGGGGAATAGGGAGTCACACTGCTTAATGTGAACAGAGTTTATGTGGGGGATGACAAGAAAATTTAGGGTATAGATACTGGTAATGGCTACGCAATATTATAAATACATTTAAAGTCATTAAATAGTATACTTGCAAATGATTAAAATGATAAATACTATGTTATATATATATTTTAGCACAATAAAAAACTTTCCTATGGTAGAAATTAGTGAAAAAACATGTCTACAAAGGTTCCTTGGTAGGGGAGGCAGTAATGAAAGAAAGATTGAGGAACAATCTTACAGCAAAGAGGCATTCACTAGGTCCGTCCAGGGTCCTGAATCACTGTCCAAACGAAAAGCTTGTTATCTAAAAAGGAGGCCATGTTAGTCAACAGATTCTGCTAGAAAAGCTGAAGCAGTTGTGAGAATCAGCAAAAATTAAATGGTTAGAACTACCCTGTGGGATTCTGAGATATCATATTGTTTGTCCATAAATTAGAAGCAGTTTCATCATTCTGACTTTGTCTTAAATAATGTAAGAAAGGTGCTGTGTACCCATCAAGTGGTTTATTAATTTCCATGGAGAGAATATGCAATATTCCCCCAATTTAATACCATTAAGCTGTAATTGATGTTGCAAATCAACTTGTAAAATTTTCATCAGTCTATGCTACAGGGTGTTCGCACTGGAGCAGCCAGATGGATCTGGATTAAATGTGAGTTAGGCCATGCCACGGTTCTTCTCAAAATTCTTGCTTCCTCTCCTACTCAGAGAAAAAGCCAGAGTCCCTAGTGAGTTCTTCAAGGCCCCACCTAAGCTTGCCCCACACTTTTTGATTTAATCTCCTGTTATTCTCCCCATCATTCCCCACCACTCCAGCCCATCAGCTCCTTGGCGTTCCTCGAACACACTAAGCTCTTGTCTCTGGCTTTTGTGTTTTTCCCCTGGCTGGAACATGATTCCTCACCACCCTCATAGCACCCTCTGGCTCCCTTGTGTCCCTTGGGTTTTCACTCAAATGTCACCTTTCCAATGATGTCTTCTCTGTCCACTGCATCAAAAAATGGCAATGATCTCTACCCTCAAACTCTCTATTCTCTCTCCCTTTAATGTTTCTCCCAGCCATAAAATATACTCTACTTATTTTTATTTATCTGTTTATTGTCTGTTCAACAAGCAAAGGAATTTTGTCCAGTTATGTTCATTGCTGTATTCTGTGGCCCTTGGAGCAGTATTTGGCAGAGTATGCACTCAATAACTATTTGTTGAATTAATGAAAGAAGATAAACAGCAACATCTGTTTATTGAGCCATTACTATATGGCAGACAGCTCACCAATAACTTACACATTTTTTAAATCTCGAAAAATCCCTAAAATCTTTATGATTTTTGTCACGATATTTAATTTAAGGCAGGAGTAGGCAAACCTTTTCTGTAAAGAACCAGATAGTAAATACTCCCATACGGTCTTGATCACAACTACTCAACTCTGCCATTGTAGTGCAAAAGCAGACATAGACAATATGTAAACAAGTGAGTGTGGATGTGTTCCAATAAAATTTATTTATAGACACTGAAATTTGAATTCGATGTAATTTTTACATCATGAAGTATTTATCTTTTGATTTTTTCCCACTCTTTAAAAATGTAAAAACCATTCTTAGCTTTTGAGTCATAAGACAAACAAACAAACAAAAATCCAGGTGGTGGGCTGGATTTGGCACATGGGCTGTCATCTGCTGACTACTCGTTTAAGTAGTTCTTTGTAATTCACAAAGCTCCTTTGGCACATTATGTCATCTAGTCTTCTCAGCAATTCTAGATATAGCATGGTATTCTCATTGTACTATTGTATGAATCAGAGCCTATAGGGTATAAATGACAATATGTCAGAACTGCCAATGCAATGTGAAATTCTCCAGTTTGCAACCTACAAGGCAGAAAGCAGACAGCTATTCTGAGTGTGGTGCTTATAAACATGATAAGTAACCTCCTTTACATTATACATCCACCCTATTAAGTATGATTATTCCCTTTAAGCAGGCAAAGAAACTGAGATCAGACTAAAGAACTTATCATTAAACTGGCAAATCCAGGAAAGAAATGCACATCTGATTTCTTTTTTTGCTGCATGGACTTTCTTGCCTAAATGAGGCATTCAATATTGTCTCCAAAATGGAAGTGAGGGTTTCTTGTTCGTTTGGTTTGGTTTTTTTCTTAACTTGGTAGGTCATCAAACCATCTCATAAAGAAATTCTGTTTTTGGGGTTTCATCTGGATCAGTGTGAATGATGCATCCACTTGTCTTACCAAGTTGTGCTTTCACCATTTGTTTCATTGATTTTTATCAGGGCTCAATTCTCCGCATAAAGATGACTCATGGCCTTGCCCATCTATCTGGAGAGTTCCTAGTTCTTGGCTGACTTTTAATTTCTCTCATTCTAAGGTCTTCTTGTCTTAGTGCCCAAATAACATATGCTTATGGTCATAGTACCAATTTTAATTTTAGCCTAAGAAATCAATAACCATGATATGTATGCATACATATGTATGCACATATTAGTATAATAAGATTTTTGGATTGTCTATTTTATTAAATGTACCTTCAATTTCATTCACTTTAATGTACAATTTAAAAAATAACACTTATTCATGCCTCCTGAGTGCTTTGCTACCCACAAATGATATGAAAGTAAATGGGTTATGTGAATGAATAACCCTTTAGTGAATGAATAACACTTGCCTTTAGTCTTTCTGTTGTGTATTTAACTTTCTTTCAAACCAGTGTTTTCATAGTTGATAAATGTCTTCAAATGCCTTTCATTAAAGTACAACCAAAGGTTTCCACGTATTTCACAAGTACTACTCATGTCTCTCCTCTTCAAAGGCAAACTTCTCTAATAAGTGGTGCACATTCACTGACTCCGTATCTGTACTTTGCACTCACTCTTTCACCTACAGCAGTCTGGCGTCTCTTCTTGTTACTCAGCCAAAAGACACTGGTTTCTTTGGTCAATTTCTCCTGGTCTTCCTCCTACCACTTGGCTGTTCCTCTTCCCTTTGTCAATGCACCCTTCACTATGCTACCACTAATTGTTGGATTTGCTTAAGTCTTGTTTTCTAAACTGATTTCTCCTATGCATTCTCAGTTGATGAGTTCATTCATGGCTATGGCATCAGTTCACTACTTATACACAGTTATTTCACAAACTTATATCCCCCAGATCTCTCCTCTATTCTAGACAGTTTACCAAACTGTTCTTAAGACATCTTATTTTGCCCATCTTAAGGATACCTCAGTCTCAACAGATCTAAAGCCAAAGTCATGTTCTTTCTCCCCACACCTCAGTATTACTTATTTCTGCAAATAGTACTATCATTCATTTAGTTTTGTAACTCAAACATTGCAAGTCATCTTTTCATCTTTGATACTTCCCTCTCTTTCACCACATTTAGTTAATCCATTATCTTTTTTTTTTTTTTTTTTACAATTTCATAACCTAATTTGATGAATTTGATGATCAGCGATTAGTTCTCATCCACATTGACTGTAGATTTCTGAAAGAGGAGCTTATTTGGTGACTCTTCATCCTCATTACATTTTCTGGGCAATCACACATAGATTCAGTATGGGACATTCCTTATTCCTTTGGCCCAGACAGCTTTGTTGAGCCTGGTATCAATGTGCTCATCTGGAGTTCCCATCTCCTTTGTGGCACATTTCCATATCTCTTTGAATTCCCAAGGGGCACACTCCTTGAAGTCCACTCCACAGATGACTTAGGAATGTTGATGGTGTATTCTCAGGTCACCAACTCTTCATGGCAGAATGGCCCTTTTTCTTTTCGCCATCCTTCCTTGCAAGAGCCATTCTGCTGGGCCCAAGTTGGAAAGGAAGAGCATGAGGAATTGTCCGATCCATTATTATCTTATCAAGGTTACCCCATACACCTCTCCAATATGTTGAGTTTTCCATATGCATCACCAGCATCTTAATTTCTGTTAGAAGCATTTCTGTCTGGAGGACTGTGATAGTGTCTAATTTGTCTCTACATCTACTTTTGCTACCTTCCATGTCATCTTCAATGCTGCCACAGTGATCCTTCCAAACCAGAAGTATGAACACATCATATCCCTGCTTTCAACATGTCAA